CATTTATGACCACATGGGTGAACCTAAGTGAGATAAGTCAGGTAGAGATAGATACCATGATTTCACTTATATGGTGACTCTAACAAAACAAAACAAAACAAACAAACAAACAAACAAAATTAAACAGAAACAAGCTCATAGATACAGAGAACAAACTGATGACTGTCAGATGGCACAGAGTGGGGGGAGGAGCAAAAAGGTGAAGGAGATTAAGAAGTACAAATTGTCAGTTATAAAATTAGTCATGAGGATGTAATGTATAGCATAGGGAATATAGTCAATAATATTGTGATGACTATGTACAGTGACAGATGGCTATTAGATTTAGCATGGTGATTACTTTCTAAGGTATATAAATGCCTGGTCACTATGCTGTACACCTGAAACTAATACAATATTGCATGTCAACTATAATTTAAAATTTAAAATAAGAATCAACAAGCCAGGTAGGGTATAGCGGCTTTTTGGTATCACTATGCTTTTAAAATAGATGAAAAATTTGTTTTAATTAAGCACTGTGGTTTCATTTTACACAATGATATTGGTTCTTTGAAGAGAGATCATATCAGTTATCTTTTCCAAAAATCAGTAGTTTGGGGCAATATCTCTTTGAATGTGTATTTGGTCATTTAAATGTCAATCACAATGGTGATAGCTCCATATGTTCTCATATGATGTGGGGACAAGCTAATGACATTTGTTAAAGTGTTGGTTGCATAGGAAGAAGAAAGGTTTGCAGTACTTTGGGAGAGAGTATCTTTGTCCATAAAAATAAAACTTCACTGTCTATCATTTTTATGAAAGATTTAAAAAAAAGCTACAACTTAGATCCCAGATGGAAGGATTTCTGGTCTAGACCTCATCTAGTACTTTATAGCTATGGAATTAAAAAACAAAGTGTTTAAATAAATAAATAAATAAATAAATAAATAGAAAACCAAAGTGTTTTAAAGGTCATTTACGCAGAATACATAATATGCTTATATAGTTTAGCTGATCTTTTGAGCTTTGATATTGACACATTGCAGGCCAGTAGTTTTATTGGTTGCTTTACCCAGTGGCCAGATGGGCTTCTTTGAACGAGTACAAAAAACGTTCTATATAAATGCTAAAGGCACACTTTAAATTTAAATACTCATTGCATTTTGAAGTTATTTATTACATGTTCTTACAAGCTAATATCTTTTTAAAGTATGATACTTTGTAAAACACTGTGTAATATGAAGCGAGAATTCTCGTGATCTGTCTGCAATGTCTTAAAAGAACAAAAACCTGTATGAAAATCTGTGAATCTCTCTCTGAAATTTGTTAAAGTGTTGGTTGCATAGGAAGAAGAAAGGTTTGCAGTACTTTGGGAGAGAGTATCTTTGTCCATAAAAATAAAACTTCACTGTCTATCATTTTTATGAAAGATTTAAAAAAAAGCTACAACTTAGATCCCAGATGGAAGGATTTCTGGTCTAGACCTCATCTAGTACTTTATAGCTATGGAATTAAAAAACAAAGTGTTTTAGTTCTGGCTGGTTTTTCTCAGTGGTTAGAGCATCAGCCTGTGGACCAAAGGGTCTTGAGTTCCATTCTCAGTCAAGGGCATGAACCTCAGTTGCGGGTTCAATCCCTGGTGCCAGTTGGGGCTTGGGTTGAAGTTATTTATTACATGTTCTTACAAGCTAATATCTTTTTAAAGTATGATACTTTGTAAAACACTGTGTAATATGAAGCGAGAATTCTCGTGATCTGTCTGCAATGTCTTAAAAGAACAAAAACCTGTATGAAAATCTGTGAATCTCTCTCTGAAGTCTGTAGTGTTAATTTTCTCACATAAAAGAAATAATTATTATTTGGGAACCATACTATTTTATTATTCAGCATTGTTTGGGATCAACAATTATTGAAGTAAAAGAGATAATTATAAGTATTTTTTAAAAATTAAAGACTATTGGAATGCAAAGTACTTACTTCCTGAGTAGAAATTCTAGTTTGTTTTAATTAAAAGTCACGGCAAAAAAAGAAGGGGGAGAGATTTTTTTTGGTTCCACTCAAAGATATCATTGGTGTTTGTACAAGGAGTTTTCTCATCAAAGGGGAAGAGGCATGGTCAGGCCTCCCTGGGGGTCTCTGTTCAGTGCCATGGAAGGACTCATTGGTGATGTCCTAGAGCAGCGGTTCTCAACCTGTGGGTTGTGACCCCTTTGGGGGTTGAACGACCCTTTCACAGGGGTCGCCTAAGACCATCAGGAAACACATATATAATTACATATTGTTTTTGTGATTAATCACTATGTTTTAATTATGTTCAATTTGTAACAATGAAATTGGGGGTCACCACAACATGAGGAACTGTATTAAAGGGTCGTGGCATTAGGAAAGTTGAGAACCACTGTCCTAGAGGCTAAAAACACAGTGAACGCAGACCAGTTAAAAGATAGAGATTGTCAGATTGGATAGAAACAAGTCTCAAACACATGTCCTAGAAACCCTACACAGACAGGTTAAATATAAAAGGATGGAAAAAAATACACCCTGAAAACACTAACCACACACTAACTGACCATATTAACATTAGGAAATATTAGAAAAGTAGGCTTTAAACAAGAAATATTGAGGAAGAGAGGCATCACATAATGGTATAGGTCAGTTCTGAAAGCCATAGCAACCTTAACTGTGAGTGCACCTACCAACAGAACTTCAAAGGACCTAAAGCAAAACATATAAAGCTGAAAGAAGAAATAGACAATCCACAATAATAGCTGATTTCAATGGGTAAACACGAATTCAGTAAGACTAGAAGACCTTAGCAACACTGTCATTCAGTGTGACCTAGTGAGTATTTATGGAACAGTCCACCCAATAACAACAGCAGAATACACTTCTTTTTTTCATGTGTACATTAGACATTTACCAAGATAAAAAAAAAATTCTGGGCCATAAAATCAACCTTAATAAATTTAAGTAATTGATATGTAAAGTTCTCAGCATAGAGCAATTAAACTAAAAAATCAGTAACACAAAGAACTCTGGAAAATCTCCAAATATTTGGAAGTTAAGCAACATAGTACTATACCATAGTTCAAACAAAAATTAAAGGATTAAGTTATTCCCTTTTGAATTGAATGAAATATGCAAACTTCATTTAATTTTGAATCGAATGAAAATGAAAACACGATATATCAAAATCTGTGGAATGTAGGTAAAGCAGTGCTCAGAAATTTATAGCATTTTATACTTACATTCAACAGAAGAAAGGTCTAAATCAGTTATTTAAGTTTCCATCTTAGGAAACTAGAAAATAAAAGGCAAATTAAACCAAAAGTCGGCAGAAGGAAGAAAATAATCAGTAAAATAGAAATCAGAAAAGCAATGGAAGAAACAATGAAATAAAAAGCTGATTCTTTGAAAAGATCAATACAATTGATACATCTCTAGCCAAATTAACCAAGTGAAAAGGAGAGGAGTAACAGATTACCAATATCAGAGAAAAAAGGAGATTGTTATAGTCAATAAAAGGATAATAGGGAATATTATGAACAGATTTATGCCTATACATTTAATAACTTAGGTGAAATAGAGAAATTCCTTGAAAACACAAATCACCAAGCTCATTCAAAAAGAAATAAGATAATCAGAATAGCCCTATCTTAATAGAAGAAATTGAATTTTTTAGTTGAAAAAAAATTTAGTTTTATAGTTGAAAACTTTCTAACAATAAAAAAATATTTCAGCCCCAGGTGGCTTCACTGGAGAATTCCGCCAAACATTTAAGGAAGAAATAACACCAAGGCTACACAAACTCTTTCTGAAAGTAGAAAAGGAGTGAATACCTCCAACCGAAGAGGTCAGCATTGCCTCAATGTTAGCCCTACTATAAGAAAACTGCAGATCAATATTGCTCATGAATATAGGTGCAAAAATCCTCAACAACATATTGTCATTCTCAGCTAATTATTTTCTAATATGCTTAATCCTTATTTTTTAAAAAAGGGATTGTTTCGACAATGGCGCCAAGTACTAAAACCTTAACACTCAGGACACAACTAACTGTTGTTCTCATTCCTAAGAATCAGAAGCCATGACAGATTGCTGGTAACTAAGGGACGGAGGTGATGTTGTGAATCCATGGAAGGCAGAGTTCTGCTTGTTGTCTGGTGGTACATGGCAGAAAGCCTAATGCAAGCCTCCTTACCTTATTAAGAGGTACTCTCTCTGCTAGTAATTTTGGATTACTCACCTGTTTATCCTGTTGCATTGTGACCTTGGGAGGCCGAGCCCTGGGTCAAGTTCACCTCCTTATTCGCAAGGCCGGGCCTAACCAGGAAATGTTAAATGTGATCCATTGAATCGTGTGGTTGTAGAAGTTGGAAGGAATTTTGAACCAGTGAATATAGAGCCAGGGCTCCTCCACCTGCCTTGCTCAAAGCCAGGGCCCATCCTTGAACATGAGTGAGAGCTCAGGTACTGGCACAGCTGCAGCGGGGCTCCTGTCATCGAAGAAGCCAGTCCATCCTGAGGGCCACCACCTTCCCTTGGGTCTCTTGAGGCAACCATTAGCTCCCAGGGAAAAAGGTGGCACTGAAAAGCTTTCTCAGCCCAGTCGCAGAATGATTTATACTCGAGCCGGAGAGCATGGTGGGACAGAGGCTGTGAGGCAAGGAAGGAGGCTGGTGGAGGGTGAATTCAGTTTTAGCTGTTATTTTTTAGGTATAGTTCACCATCAAGTGTAATCGTCTATAAAGAGCTGGACATAGAGAGCTGGAGAGAGGGAGGGTGTTGGCCGAGGGTGCAAATCTGGGTATCATTCTCTATAACTCCCCAGCCCCCCCCGCCCCATAACAGCCCAGACTGTTTTTGCTCTATTGGAAGTGAGGCCTGTATCCTAAATGAAATGGATTCGGTTTACTCACCTTTCCAGTGGAAATTCTATAATTGTTCATATCCTCTCTGTGTTTTTACTGTCTGTTGAATCAATTAAGTTAATTTTACATGTTGTTTCTTTCTTTCAGAAAAACTGTACAACTCCAGCGGGCGAGATTTAAGAAGGGCCCTTTTCTCCCTGAAGCAGATATTTCAGGTAAGAGAGGAAGAAAGTGCTCTTGGATTCTGTTTTTGCAGTGCTATGGAATGAGATACAGACCAGGGTATACCTTTTATTGATTACTGTCTGCCTCAGTGTAAACCTGTCTTGTCATTGCCCTCAGGGTGCACATCTCAGAAAAATTAAAACAGCTGTCTACAGACACTGCCTGCTTTGGTCCTCCCCAGCTCCATCTTTTCTCCCGCTTCCCACCAGAGGGTTTGAGGGTGTCATTCTCTTGCTGGTTCCTCGTAGCCTTCTGGATTACTTCTGGATTTCTCAGTATAACACGAAGGCCCTTCTGGATCTGTCTTCTGTTCACACCTTGGTGTCCTTGGCTGAATCCTAAGTTCCACCTGTGATTGCATTCTGGGAGCCATCTGTGCCTTCTCTCTTCTGCACCTTTGCCCCAAGACCTAGTGCTTTTATCCCAGAATGCATTGCCCCCAACCCAAATCTACTCTCAATGTCTCTCAGTTTCCTTCCTGGTATCTCCTTCTGTCAGAGAGCCTTTCCCCAAAGTAAATGGCCTCTCACCACAGTCATGGTCCCTCTGAATACCCCTGATGTCCTCTGTGCTTACATCAAGTATGGAACTTAGATACTTCGGGTACTTGTGCGAGTCCAGTCATCTGGGAGCTCGCTGAGTTCCATCGCTGGGTCTCTGAGGCCTCGCACAGTGTCTGGTGCCATTTATGCAGTCGATGAATGGGCTGCGCAACCGGGATGGTCTAAACAGATGTCTGTCTTCTGTCCTCTCTGTCTCTAATTTAGTCAGTGCTTCACTGACTAATTGTCCCAAAGCTCCACCTCCCACACATCCATCTGTGTATCCCTGTTCCTTAGATGAACAAAGCGGAACTTCTTCACCCTCCATGACGTCCTCTCTCAAACTCAGATTCCTGACTGCGGGAGCTGGACTTCCACTGTATCCCCAGAGGCCACACCCATGCCCCTCCTCACCCTGACTCCTGCAGTCCCTTGTCTGCCTGTGTTTCTGTTGTTCAGCTTTGACTTCTTTCAAAACCTGTGTTCCCCTTGTTGAGTATTCAGTAGATGGCAGAACCACACAGAGAAGAGCTATTCTAAGTGACTTTAAAATACTGTAATCTGTGCATCTTGAATCACACACACACACACACAAAGGAACTGTTTTCATGTTTACAATAATCATGGTGGTGGTGGTAGTGTTGATATTGCTATTCTGAGACTGTGTGAGTGTATAGTTATCCCAATTTTGTCATTCTTAGAGTTCTTAGGGATTGGGATTCTTGGTGTGAGGTAGAAAGAAGATAGAAAGGTAGAAGAGGTTAGGTTAAAAGCTCTGTATTCCTGAATTGGAAAAGTCAGACTGAACTCATGTTGTATATTATTTTAACAATCAAACAAGCAAATAAGCATATTTATAGCTCTGTTTATGGAAAAGGACTAAAAGCACTGATCAATCCATTAGCCAAAAGCACCCAAAGCAGCAAGACCGTGGTCTTAAAATACGGAAAAGAAGCAGAGCTCTTTGGAGAAATAGCTAATTCTAAGTCTAGAGAAGGAAATGGGTAAAATAAACTTGGAGCCTCTTATATGGATAGCAAGGAAGCTGTCAAATACTACTATGACTATTGCCAAAAGAGTCTCCCACTGGTTGGTCAAAGATGGGACAATGTAAGCACCAATAAGGATGATAATTTCAATGAATTAAAACACATCAAGTGTTCGCATTGATGAGTTCATCATGATACTAGAAAAAAATAAACCTAATGGATTGCTCACCATTGGAAAATGCTTGCGTCCAGCTCGTAATTTTGAAAATGGGTGAAGTTTTAGAATCTCATATTTACCTCTTCCTATGCGAACTTTAGGATAATCAAACAGTAGTTGAAGTCAAATTTTATGTATAAAAATATTCTAGCTTAGAAGTAATAAAGAGTGATAGAATTAAAATACCCTGATTTTACAACCCCTAATGAATGAATGGATAGATAGGTCTTGAGCAGCCAGAGCTGCTGATGTGACAGCGATGAGAAACAACCAAATGCTATGTGTGTCATCATGGAAACACTACCATCAATGATGTGGTCAAGCCAACAAAGTCAACCCTGGAGCTGATCATGCTCTATGTGCAATAACCAATGAATAAATGATCTAGGACCGAGGTGCTTGTTACACTACACCACAGGCGTGTAATCAACAAAACCCAGACTGTGGGCAAATGACCTACTTTCTTCAACACATAAATTTCAAGGGGAAAAAAAGAGAGACAAATTAAAAGACATTTAAAATTTATATCAAATAATTGCCACATGTGGATCTTATTTGGATCCTGACACAAATTGTAAGAAAACAGTATTTATGAGACAGAAATCTGGTCACTGACTGGACATTTGATAACATAAGAAAGCATTATGATAATAGAAAATAAAATTTGAAAGAAAAAAAAATTAAAGTATTACAAAAAAAAAAGAAAGCATTAATTTTTTTAAATTATGAGTACATAATTTTAAAGAGTTCCTATTTTGGAGATACATATTGGAATACTTATGGATTAAATGATGTGATATCTGGGATTTGCTTCAAATTAATATGACAGCAGACTGGGGGTGTGACAGAAGAAACAGGATTGGTATGACTTGATTGGCACCAGGGGGTTCACTAAATTATTCTGTCTTATTTTGTATATGTTTAAAGTTTTCTATGGTGAAAAATTAAAAAAATAAAACAAATATGTTTGGGGTCTTATTGCACATCCCCTCACCACGCCTGCTCTGTAGTGTTGGCTCTGGATTCGCAGGGATGCTGTTTCTACTGTTTATTCATTAAACAAATATTTTTGAGCAGCCTTTGTCCACACCTCATAGGCAAGGGGGAAGGTGTTTGCCATCAGAAGTTTATAACCTGTCTGGAAGACCACCCACGTGTGCTCAAAATAGCTGTAAACCACAGAGCAAGGATGCCTTGGGGATTGAATGGGTTACACAGGTTGCAAGCTGTCTGAGACCTCGATCATGTCTCACACCCATGAGCCTGCCTCTCCATCATCCTTGCATTTTCTAGATGTGGAGGTTCTACTTGGAATTAGGGGGTAAACAACAACAACAACAACAACAACAACAACAACAAAAACTTGAGCCATTGCCCATTTGGACTGCGTTGCATATTCCTTGACTAATAGGCATTAAAGAATGACTGCAGGTTAATGCATGGCTCTGATAGAAAATTCTGAAATGCAGTGATAGTCACTTATTCGTTAGTGTGAACATTTTGATTTCATTCTTGTTGTTTCAAGAACGACTTATTAGTGCCTGTATATTTTATGATATGTGTTTAAAATCTAGTACATTGCCGATTTGGAAGATACTCTCCACATTTATTATCCATACATTTTTAGCTCCTAAAGTGCCTTATCTACATATGTGCATACATTTTACTTTGGGTTCTGAATTATTTTTATAAACACCATCTCCTCTGTCCAGTGTTTTTTCTAGGTACCTTTCCCAGACAGTCAACTCGATATTAATATTAGTGATTAGCTTGAGTGGTTTCTTGAGAGCTTGTTCTCACTTTTTCACCATGAAGTCATGTGTGAATCTAGTTTTAGTTAAAGTAATAAACATTTGTTACATGCTTGGAAAAACTTTCTGACTAGACATGAGCTCATCTAAATGTTCACTTTTCACATATGCTGGTGGAAAAGGATATGGATGGAGAGAGAATTATTTTTTATTTCCTTTATACATAGGAGTGTAAAGTAATTTTCCAAAAACTCATGATACTGTCCCATTTTCTCTTGCTTTCCAAAGCCATGATTATCTTAAAGTCTGAGCTAACACAGCTGTCTCTCATTACCTTCGGGGCACAAGCCTTGCTCCCCCTCCCCCGGTGCCCTCTGAACACTGAGAGCGCTTTCTTGGTTCAGAGGGAGCCCGTGCCGGGCCTGCCCACACTGAGCTCACGTCCTCCATCCATATAATTGGAAAATGCCGTAAAATCCAAATGAGGGGCTGATTTAACAGAGAGACTGGAGAATTGTGCCAGTTCGTCTACATTATTTTTTCTTTTCTGGAGATCAACCAGGGTTGCTGACCATTCCTAGAAGAATAACCTTTCATTATTCCATTAAGCTTTCTACTATTTACATCACTGAGGTTTTTTAGTTTTGCTCTGTTGTTATAATTGAAGAAGAATGTTCCAGCCTTATCCTGGTTGTGTTTGAGACAAGGCACTGTCCGATTGAGGGACTCTCCCACAGCAGCAGAAGAATGATCCCTCTCCTACGTTTCCATTCGGTAGAGGTGGCTACTACAGGATAGAGTGCACTGGGGGAGGGCAGGGAGGGCTGGTGGACATAGGTGACGTGGCCACTGTTTGTCACTCTTGAGTCTTTATCTATAAAGAGAAGGTAGGATTAGATTAGTGGTTTTTGAACTGGCCAGCCTTTAGGATTTCCTGGGGAATTCAATAATAGCAAAGCTGGGCCTCACTTCCAGAAATTCTGGTTAAGTCCTTTGGGGAAGGGTCCTGCTTCCTCTTCCTTTTCAAAGCTCCCAGATGATCCGAAGTGGGCTGAGGCCCATCTGGGAGCTGAGCACCTCCCAGTCACCTGGAGGGCACCTTCCAATCACGTGGAGGGCGTGGTAGGCACAGGTCCGTGGGTCCCACAGCAAACTTTCCTATCAAGTAAGTCAGGAATGGAGCTGGGCGTTTGCATTTTTAACAAGTTCCCAGGTGACCCTCTTGCTCCCCATGGGTCTGGAGACCTCTCTTTGTGAACCACCGAGTTGACCTGAGGTTCGTTCCTTGCCTGGCCTGCCTTCTGTGAGCAGT